AAACTCATAGAAAAGAGGTCATAATATTAGAACAATAAAGATCAAATAACTTAGTTTTTAGCTGTCAGATACAGAGGCCTCTGTCTCTGGGATCAAATAAACATCTCTGTGAGCTGCTACCATGGCCTTTCTAGAAGCACCTGTTAAAGGCAATAACCTTGTGCCAGTAACTGAATATTTGATCTAAGCAGGAAACCCAAAAACTGAAACATAAATATTTTCTCAACTGAAAAGGAACTGTCGAGTGTTTGTTTTCCTTGGCAGAACACTAGCCCAGGAAGGATTCAAGTCACCCAAAATGTTTCATTGCTCTGAAAACAAATGGACATATCATTCTAGTCTGGGAGGCTTTGAGTTACATGTAGTCAAGCCAGGACTGAAGACATTTCACTAAAAAATATTAAAACGAATTTTTCAAGTGAAAAAAAAAAGTTTTGGAACAAAACTGTTCAGGTGTTTTGTTTTTGTGGGTTTTGTTTGGTTTTTGTTTGGTTGGGTTTTTTGGTTTTGTTTTTGCCAGGGGTATTTTGGTTTTTTTTGGGGGGGAGGGGAAAGGCAATACATGGTCATCCTGGTCTTTTAAATGTTCTTCATTCAAGAGAAAAATTCTAAAAAACAGGCAATATCAGTATTTCTGTGCTGAAAGCCCAGGGCAAAATGCTCACGTTGGTGGTCACTGCTGGCATGAAAACAGAAAAAACAGTAATTGCCATGGTTCTGATTGTGTTCAGGCTGCTCTCGACAGAGCTATCAGCATGAAAAGGACTAAATGAACTGATACACTTGAAGTGCATAAGCTAAATTTAGTTCAAAGAAAAATACATTTAGGGTAAACAACTCCTTCCTGTCTTCTCCCCCACAGCTTCATGCATGATAACTATTGAAATAACCTGCTGCTGGTGTGACTCCAGCAATTCTTTAAAATCAGTTTTCTAAGAAAAATATAGTGAATTAGAAGAGCTTTCCAGCAGAAACAGGGTGTAGCCTTAGGCTCTAATTGGGAAAAACACTATGCACATACTTTACTTAGCATTTGTCAGTCACCTACTTGAAGTTAGACCTGTAGAGATGAGCACTTTCAGGATTTGCCCTTTGGCAAAGGTGAAGTAGCTCAAAATTTTGAAGGTGTTTTACAGCAGTTTTCTGCTGGCAGCTGATTTTGGTTAGGATGTATAAATTCTGAATGTGTACCTCTCCAGTGCGTTCTGGTCTTCAGTTGCTGCTTGTTCTAATGATTTCCTCCTCCAATTCTTCACTTTGCTGGCACCTTGTGCTGATGCCTCAGCCTGTTTCCCTTTTCAGAGGAGCAGTTCTCCTGTCTTTAGTTATGTTTGCTTAGGCAGGATGGAGTAAAAGGATGTTAAAAGGAAACCAAGCCTATTCATTCATTCATCTCAGGAGTTTCAGATTATTTGGCATTGCCAAATAAACATCTCTTTACATTCTCACTTGAAAGGTGATTTTTGACAGTTTCATAGATCTGGTTTCATGTGCAGTTTTAAATAGCAGGTAATATTTTGGAAGCCATTAGTGGGCTTGTAGATCAAGAGTCTTTCAGGGACTGTTGCAAATCCACATGAAGTTTCTGAGCATTAGAATTTGCGTTCAGTTGAAGGAAGTGTGGAGACTCCAAATTCAACTCTGCTTTGTGAAGTAAATGCAATAAATCCTTGCATGTGTCTACATATGGCAGCGTGTGAGGTGGAGGAACCTCAGGCGTGCTAACAGTGTTTTCTCGAGTCCAATGCAGTAAATCAAAAATCCCTTCCAAAATGTAAGCAATTTCCTTCATAAAGCTATGCCAGCTTTATGGGTTCTAACCTACACTCCTCCTCCTGAGAGGCTATTCCAGAGCTGCATCCTCTGAAGGATGGGAATATTTTTCTGACCCTTACCCTAAATTTATTTGTGGCCAACTATTATCCATTTGTTCTTAAGCAAACATTGTACATTAGCTTAAGTAGCACTTTAACTTCACCAATATCCCTCTTCAGTTCTCCTTTCCTCTGGTTTCTGTTTATTTTTGGATAGTACTTGATAAAATGGAGCTTTGCCAGGTAGGTCAACATTTTACCTAAAACACGACCCTTTTTATGACCCCATTTTTGTTCCCCCCTCCTCCCTCCCCATGGATATTATTACTGTGAGAGCCTTCATGTATTGCAGAAATAATTGAGCACATTGACACATTTTAATAGGACAGATTAGTGTCATAGTGCAGATCTGACAGCTTTACCTCGCCTTACATCTTGGTCTTTGCCAGCAAGGTAGTCCCTACCCTACTGCCACACTAATTAATCAGCTTAGTGCCTTGTTGGGATCATTCTGTGGGTATCAGTTTCACTAAAGGATTTGCTGACTTGGCTTTTTAGCTGTAAAATAACTTGAGAGTGATTATTTACAAAAAAAAAAAAGACTGAAACCTAGAGTCTAAACAGGAGCAGATTTAAAAACAAGTGTGCACCACGTCAGGAGAAAAATATATGCTGTGACTGAAATCCATACAGCCATTGAAATAACCTAATCTTTGCATTTGACTTCCACTTCAGAACTAGCTAATGAAATTCCTCCAACTTTTAAGGTTAGACTGTAGAATTGTGATGGGTTTATTTATTATTTAATACTACTCTCTCCTGTCATGGCCTCATCTAATATTTGAATTACTTGGATTTGACTCTTTGTTCATATGTCACAAGGCATAAAGATTGCAGGGAGCCATCAGCCTGAGAAAGCAGCTTCACACTATTTTTGTCTGCTCAAATTTTCAGTCAAGTAAGGTGGCACAAAAAATGCTGTCTGAATTCAAATGCATTGTACTGCACCTCGTGCAAGGTGCTCCACGAGGGTGGAGAGGACAACTTATGCTTTAATGTGCGTGCTCCCTCACTGCATTCTTGCTCAGGCCTGTGACCTATTTCTTGCACTGTCTGAGCTTCATGGATGCCAAAAGTACCTCAACAGACTGCAGTTTGAGGATGCTAGCTCCACTGAATGGACTCAACTGTTGCATGTGTTCTTCATCACTCAGTTACAGGGGGACAGTCACCAATGGTACAGAGATAAGGAGAGAGTGGTATTCCAGTCTGCCCTGGGAAAGTGGTGAACACCTGCAGTTCCTACTGAGATCAAGGAGAATTGTGAGTGCTCAGCATTTCTGTTCCAGGACACCTTTTAAACAAGTAACCTTTTTGCAGTCACCTTTAAATTTAAGCAGAATCTTGATTTTCAGGTGCTTTCAGTCCCTCTTATTTCCTTGGTGGTTTCATATTATAGGGACTTGTAGAAATTGAACTCCGGGGAAGTTGCAACCAGTTCTGTTTAGAAGCAACCAAATATAACTTAGATCTGTTATCCATGCACCCCTGGGGGGTGCTTTTAAGTAAATGGATTGAAAGTTCCAAAGAAAGTGGTGCAAGTCTTTTACATATGACTTCATAGCATTCTCTAGAAACTGCAGTAAAATAAAAAGTTGTTCAAATGTAAATGTATGGCTCCTTATTTTGCACAAGCTCTGCTTCCTGCCTCTTGCTTTTCTCCCCTTCATACTGGTGGGATGGAGGAGTGAACAAGTGGCTTTGTGGGTCCTTAGTTGCTCATTGGGGTGAACTCACCACAGCTGGTTAAGGAAAGGAAAATAAACAGTATTGAGCCTCTCTCTTGAATCAGCATCTTCCATTACAACTTCTTGCTTATAGTAGTACAGAGCAGTTATGAAGCACTTCCCAATTCCTTAGGATTTTAAAAGTATTCAAGCAAATTAAAAGCCTGCATCCTGCAAAAAAAAATTTTCTGATCCATATTTTTGTGTTCTCCTGAATTCCTGAATTCACATGAGAGTGGGTCTTTGGCTTCTGAGTTAGCCTGTTGCAGTTAAACCCCCCAAAAATCCTGTGAAGTAGATTATTTCTTATTTCATTCTAAGAGATGGTGATGCTGAAACAAACTTGTCTACTGATTTTTGTCTTTTTGCTGGTGCCAGGTTAGTTCCTGGTCAGTTTCTTGACTCTTATTTACACCGTATCAAGATGGAGAGATAAATGCAGTATTTGTTTTCATGGTGTGGAGAAACTGAGCAAATATGAAGCACAGGTTGAGAACAACAGAGAGGTGGGATATCTGGATGAGAAGTAATCATTAGCTCGCACATTGCTCTTAGCCTTGTCAAAACTCTAAAGTCCTTCTGTTCCTCCAAGTCATTTATGCAGCACTGTAACAGGGAAGAATAATAATAAAAAAAAACTAAGGTGTCTGGAAATTCAGGGTATTAACTGGTGAAGGGATGAAGTTGCTTCCCCAGCCTCAGTTTCTCGAGCTAAAGAGACAGGACTTCTACTGCCATGTGTAACATGTTGGGAGGAATGATAGTACCAAAGAGTTTAAGGATGCATGAGCCTTATCTGGTTCTGCTAGCACAAGCAAAACCCATAAAAGGATGCTGCTGAGCAGGTTTGACCAAACTCTGTGCATTCAACTCTGCTTGCATGTGCATACCTGAAAGCAAGTTGAAAATGGCTTTGCAAATATTACCAAAAAAAAAATGTAACACCCCCAAAACATGTAACCCCTCCCAAAACCGCCAAAACCAACCCAAACCTAAAATAGCATACAAAATACGAAACATTTTCTACTCACTCAAGTTGTAAGGAAAACATGTGAATCATCCCTCATTAAGAAGGGGTTTCTCAAGCGGCTCAGGAGCCAAATGCCAGGGCTCCTGGCATTTGCACTGTGCAAAACACTTCCTTTTCTCAAGGCAGCCTTTACCACATCTGAATAAGTGATGCAGTAGATACACACAGATAGAGGTGAACACCAGCAGGAAGAGAGGGGGAGAAGTTGAGGCAGGAGTTCTTCAGGATCAGCCAAAGCCACATCCCATGTGTGGTCCACCTTCCCTCCTCTTAAGGGGCAGGTGTGTGTCCTGCAAGTAAGCAGCTCACTCTGGGTAAAGCATCCTTCCTCCTGTGCTGACACTTGCTTTGTCTGAATTTTGCCTGCAGTGGCTGAGGAACCCAGGCCCCCAGCACGAGAGGAGGACTCTCTTTGGAGACATGGTGTGCTTCTTGTTTATCACCCCCCTGGCGACCATCTCTGGCTGGTTGTGTCTGCGAGGAGCAGTGGACCATCTGCACTTTAGTAGTAGGCTAGAAGCTGTTGGACTCATTGCACTCACTGTGGCACTCTTCACTATTTACCTCTTTTGGACCCTAGTAAGTATTGGGGTTTTTATTTGACTCAGAGGAATGAGACGACAAACAATCGAGAAAATTAAGTAGAGAGTGCTGTAGGGGGTGTGGGCCATTGCACAAAACATTGCTTGTATTTACCCTCCATACCGATAAATATGAATTGCATTTGCAAAAAACCTCTTTGGTTCCACACCATTCAAGTTCTCTTGAAAACCAGAAAGGCAGTTTGTTTTGGGATCAGAATTCTGAAATCTAAACACCAAAGCAAATAGAAAGAGGAAGAAGGGAAGTAACATGAAGGAGTTCAAGATAGATGCTACGGGAGGGAGTTTCATCAAAAATAATGTGGAAAAGATGAAGGCACAGCACACAAAAAAGATTTAGGTGAACAACTTGGCTGCCAGGGAGGATTCAACTTTTATTCTAATGCAACATCTGGCCAACTTTGTAATTCAAAAGCATTGGATATGGGTGCATCCCATGCTTTCCTCATTCCTCATTCCCCATGCTTGCAGTGGTGAGGGAAGTGCACAGCAAAACACACCTTACACCAAGGTCTGTAAAAAGACAGCTGCCTTTGCAGTGCAGCTTAATCTGCATCCTGCAACCCAGTGTGAGTCATTTGCATGCCAATCCATCCTAAGAGCCACTTAAATCTGTGCCAAGTTGTTACACTGAGATCAGTTCTTGGCCCCAGTGCACTGACAGACAGTTGGCCCAGCAGAAATGAAGGGAACAGAGGGAACAACTGCCAAAATCAGTGTTTATCAAGCCATGGTCTAGCAGTTCACTGAAAACCCCTGGTTAGTGTTGATTTTGAAATTTCACACCTCTAGCTCTGATGTGGGAAGGAGAAGAGCAGGGTGGATGCAGATGGGGAGCATCCACAGAACTGCTAGTGTGATGGTGCTGGGCTGTGACAGGAAAAGCTCATTCTTGCCCTGAGTGGGGGCAAGCCAATCCTGCCTCTAGCTACTATTACTACAGGGCCAGCACACAGCCCTCCCCCCTCAGTGGGTACAGGCACACTACAAGGCTGACCTCTTCCAGCAGTTTTTGATCAGCGCAAGGTTCTGAGGAGCTGACACTCTGAGAACTGCAAGAAACCGAGCCCTGAGTAAGATTGGAAAAGAGAAGATAATGGAACACAAAGCTCCCACGCTGCCTCACAGGTAGTTCCAAAAAAGCTGTCAGAGGTATTGTCTCATTTACACATTTGTTACAGTGAAACCTTGTCTCACCCATAGAGGAGTGCAGGCAGCAATCAACAGCAGGGAAAGATGAGTTTTGCCTCAGCCTCGTTGAGTTTCTCTTTTATTTGATTCTGGTTTTCTCTGAAGCTGCAGCACTGCCCTGTCACAGACCATTTACTGCAGCAGTGAGGTCACTTGTTTTTCCTGCAGTGCTGTGTGTAGATATGTCTGTCAGGTGTGTAGATATGTCTCCCAGGTATGCAATCAAAGGTGGTTCAAATTTCCTTTGTGTATGGCTGTCTTAGAAACCCAAATGCTGCCCCATTTACCTAATACACTTAATTTACCATCACCAAAATTGTTAGAAGTTGTAAAAGGCAATTTTTAGTTGGATTTAATTAACCATGACACATGGATTTATCTGACTTTGTATATTAAGAGTACTGCAGCACCTCTACTTTAATCCCAATCCCTGTCTATTACATTTGCAGTGGAAGTGGCAAAAATGCCTTCTATTCACTTTATTACTTTTATCCCTTCAAAATATAGAGAGAAATGTGTTACTAGCACTTGGAGAACATGGTGATAGTGAGCCTGATGTAAATGCATACCTTGGTTGATTTAATCAAAATACAGTACTTTTGATGTCCACTGAGTTGTGGACAGTTGTAATCCCACTCTAAACTATTATTCAGAGCAGTAGGAGCTGGATGGGCTAAGGAAGCAGTGTATGCAGCAGGAAGAGGCAAGGCAGGAAACCCTTCAGGGCACTGAATCACTCAGTGATTGAAACTAGAAGGCTAATCCCATCAAAATTCTTTAGCAGAACCTGTATTGTAATTTTTTGCAAATGGGAGAATCCTGTATTGCTTACTTAGTTATGGTAGGGAATGTGTTGGGTGCTGTGGGGTTAATTACACACAACATTATATAATGCCCCTTTAGGTCATGGGAAAATCAAGAAAACTAAAACTTCGTTTTATTTCTAATAAGGCAAAAGCTGTCATATAGATTATTTACACACCGACAATTATGCCAGTGAGCAGTGAACAAGAGATATGCTATTTTTAGCACCCAAGACATTGGTTTATCCCTTCCTCTAAAACAGACAGGTTACCAATAAAAAACTGCTGTTGCTTTTCCTCTTTATTTAATCACTGCAACTGATGTACACACACCAACAAAAGCACCTGCTAATCCTGAGAAGAAAGCTCCAGACATTAAAAGGAAATTGCTATTTAAACTAAGAATTCAGGGCCACACTCTGCTTTCTCTTGTACGCTGGTCATCTTGATTCCTCTAAAATCAAGTAGCAGCTTGGTGTAGAGCAGGACGTGACCCTTTAGCTTCCAGTACAACTCCAGTTGCACTTCAAGTACAACCATCTTCCAGTGCTGGTTTATAACAAAGGTTAGACCAAGTTAGAAAGGTAGACACCCCCCTTGCTGTCTTACTGAAGAGATCACAAAGGGAGTTTAACGTGTCAAGGAATAAAGAAAATCTAGTCTTTTTTTTCAGAATTTCAAGAGTTTTTCATCCAATGTAACAATTTAGGGTGAGTAAGTGGTACTTGGCTGAAATTCAGTAGCTGACATCACTTGGAAACTGCTCCCAGACAAGAATCCTCTGTAGACAAAAATAACTAGGGTATCTTGTGATATCTAAGCCAGTTAAAGCCTGGCTTAACAATGCAGCCGTTACTCAAAGAATCTCATGTGATGATACTTGAAAACTCAGCCTAAACTGTGCCTTCACTCTCCTGGAGCAGTCACTGCCTTTTGCATGGCATCCACTTTTGCAGATGTTTGGGTGTTTTTACCCTCCTCAATACATCACGATTCCTGCTGATACTAAAGTGTCCTTTTACAAGAGATTTGTACTTTCATATACAAGGTGCCACAGAAAACAGAAGCAGGATGCAACACCTGGCTGTCACTAAGTAGTAAACTGCCTTTTAAAAACATGGGGACAAGCTATCTTGCACATCCATAACAGTGAGGCATTCCTCTTCCCCAGTAAGGTTGAAATTGGTTGGCTGATGAAAAAACTTCAGAGACAATAGAAACTGAGATACACGTCATCAGATGGCTCACACTGATCTTGCTGCCTTTGTGCAATACTGACTTTGACGCATTCAGCAATAAAGCGTTACAAGGTAGAACATACAACCCTGCACAGAGTTTAGGTGCCTGCAAGCCTTCACCATCCATCCAATTGCATTGTTTGTCAGTTTAAACCACAGCATGAAAGCATCCCAAACTTATTCTCACTGTGTCTGTCAACAACACTAGTTGCTGAGAAAGACAGGGGCACGATGTCTGATTTTTTCAAGTTATAAAAAAGGGGAAGGACAGGTAGGCGACAGCAGAAAGTGAGGCACAGGCTGCTTTCCTTCCCTACTGTGGCATCCTGGGGCATGAGTCACCTACAGGATAGTTCTCATCTTTTCACCACTTTTTGCCCATTAGGCTGCTTATCAATTTTTTGTTCTGCCCAAAGGCACTTCCCCCCAGGCCCCAATGAATCCTTGGAGGAGCACAGTGACTGAACCCATCTCTGTTCTCTCCTCAGGTGTCCTTCAGGTATCACTGCAGGCTCTACAATGAATGGCGTCAAACCAATCAAAGGGTAATTCTGCTCACCCCAAAGTCTGCTCACATCCCCCACAACCAGCAGTCCCTGCTGGGCCTACAGTCCCTCAAAAGGAACTCAAAAGAGACAATCGTTTGATTTGGCCAGGTCTGCAGAGGGGCCAAGCACTAAGAATATTTTCCTTAAACTCAGACACTGCCCAGAGCCACTGCCTAGGAGTGTGTTATTCCCATTAAGAAACTCTTTGCAGAGAATTGAACCACTGTTTCAATCCAAATCATGGATGCTGCATTTGTATGCTATTTGCCAAGCTGCCAAACTTGTTTATTTAGCAGGTAGGGTATGGATTCTACAGACTTGTGTTAAGTCTTGCAGCATCGAGCGATGCAAACTTTTTTTTATTGTTTAAAGTATTAAACTGTGGTAATCAACAATGCAAACCAGGTTTTAAAAGTGCTTTGTTTTTATAATTTCATGTTCCTGCAGTATTATTTCTTTAGGCAGCTAGACAGTAACCAGTATTGCATTCTCTTTCCAAAAGCACAGCAACAGCATTCCCTCACTTGATTTTATCTGCAGGTCTATTATACCCATATTTGGATTATTGAAGCTTGTCTGTAATGAGTTCTACAAATTGACGTATTATTTAAATGCTATAAAGTGATTAGAAAAATATCTTCCATATTTTCTGTTTGGCAGGGAAGGTCTGATAGGAAAATTCTTCAGTAATAAATTCTGCGTGTGCAAAAGAGAGAAATTACACAAATTGCAGTAATCTTCCCATCAAAAGCATTACGGTATGTAGCACTCAGGAAAAAAAATAAAAGTACTTTTTGCATACAGAAGCAACAAATCAGGCACCACGTTCTTCACTGAAGTGCACGTTCTGTTGGAGTGAATTCAAACTCAACCAATTCACTCTGCATTTACACCAAGCTGAATTTAACTCTAAGACTTACTTTTGTAAGGAAAACTGCATACATAATGAATGAGATTCCTCAAACAAGTTTTAGGAACCAGGAACTCGTCTTGCATAAAAAGCAGGATTATTTTAAAGCTGCAGAATTTTCAGTTTGACAGTAGATTTAGCATTGTATGTAAACCCTGACCTCTCATGGCAGCACTAACGACTAAGGCATCTTTTAAAAAAAATTAATACTTATTTTAATATATTTTAAATTAATAATAGAGCTTACTATGGTGATGAAACTGAATTCGGAGTGTAAAGACTAGACCTTATTCCTGGATGACATTATCTATTTCCCCTTGGTTTTATGCCAAATTTCTTCAACAATTCTTCCCTCTCAGAAGACACAGTTATGTAGATAGACTTATTTTAAATAATTACACAAAATGTTACCAGCAAATACTGCTAGAACTAGAATTTGATACAAACCCTCTTTAATTTTTTAGAAATGTGTGTAGATGGCAATGCCATCATGTGCTTTGTTTTCCAAACTGCAGGAACTAAAAACAAAAAGGTAGACATAGCAGGAAGGCTCGTAATTTGTCACTAAAGTTCAAGGTATTGTGTGTTTACCATCAGACGTGAATTTACTTGATGTTGTGTGTGCTCTGTGGGAGAAAAAAAGCTTAGTATACAAAGCCAAATCTGTTATCTTCTTTATTCTGTCTGTGGACCAGTCTAGCTGAAAGCATGTTATTTAACAATATTCTTTGTAACTGTCAATTCCATGGGGATATAAAAATCAACTAACTATATAAAGCAATAATAGCCTCATTCTGACATAAGTCTACTTTCACAGCAAGACATGCAGGAAAATCATGAACCTGCAGATCTATACTCATAATAAGGTCAGAGGTTGGTCACATTTGGCCATGAATACAGTTTTCTCTTCCAGAGAAAACTATACAAGACGCTGAAGACATGGATATTACATGCTCTGTGACAGCCTAAAACCTGTAGCACCTTTTTTTTTTTTTTTTTTTTATAAGCCCTCTTCCAAAAGGTAACAACTATGTGGGTAGAAGACTGAACTTGCACTTCAGCAGAATTCCAGGTTAAAAGAAAACCTGCTAAAGCAGATCCAGCTGGGAGAGGACACTGTCAGACAGTGTTTTAATGCCTACACCTTTGCTTTAGGTAAGCTTTCTTCAGAACTGTTACTGCTTTTGCTTCTTTGGGAGATGCCCCAGTAAGCTGGCCCATGAAAGAAGTGTTGCTCTTAGCAAGTACTATTGTTGGGTTTGTTTTGTGAAGCAAAAATTTAGGATGATGTAGAATTAAGTGGCAACTCGAAAAGCAATTATTCAAATGAAGCTGCATGTTATAGGCACACAGATCACCACAGTGACTTGGCCCAGCTCATCTGTGATATTTCAAGTTTTATTTTTTGTTTAAAGACAGCTTATTTTATTTGAAGAAGGCATGCTGCAGCAACTAGAGAGAAAAGTATGGTCCAGCTTAGCAAATGCATTACTGATTTAGTTACTGTGCTTGATGCAGAAGTACAGCAGAAGTGGCTGGTGAATTCACAGCAGCAGTGTCCCACGTATTTTCTTGAGGAAAAGAAAATGTCGGAAAAGATCCAGTCAGACGCTTTCAATTGCATTAAACCCATGGAGAAAAACATGCTTGTATTCTTCCTTATTTTTCCTAAAACGTAAGATTAGGGAGGTGGGAGATTACTTATTAGTCCCACTTCTGTTCTGAACTAAAGACTCACAGACAGAAGGATCTCCCAGATGAGAGTTGCCTTTTCTTCCACTAGTTGAGGCTGTTGCCACACCCAAGTCAAAAATTCTAGTAACCACTGTAAAACTGGATCATTACAGTACATATCCTACAGCAGCAGCAATACTCATTTTTGTCTGAATAGATGTGAAAGACCAAATTAACTGCAGCAGGAGCCACAGCTACCGAAGCTCCTGGTAGTACAATGACACCTTTGTTATGCTATCCTTAAAGAGCTCCCAGCTCAGCAAAAAATAACTTAAATAATGAAAGGATAAGGGACCACCTTTTTATGCCTTCTTTTTTTTTTAATGTCACCCAGCTTGCTTCTCAGCAACTTTAAGCTTACTTCTCATGCAGCTGGCCTTGCCATTTACATTCCCTTTCCATGTAAGAAGTTATATAGAGGGAACAATATTTCATCAGTATTCAAATCAGTATTTTACACTGCAGGTGATAAAAAGCAACCTATTACGGTTCAGTATAAATGGGGTGAGTGCAATGCGAAGTGAGGAAGTTTTAATTCTTCTACATAGTCTTTTCCCCTGCACGACTAGTCTATCCCATTACATAAAGACTTAGAAATTCCATAGTTTTCTGTTCAGCTGGAAGTAAGTCACAACACAAGCAGCATTAAAAATACTTCAGGTTTTGGTGTGGTGATTTTTTTCTTTACTCAGCTGCATAGTTCTGCCACACTGAGACCTCCAAACTGTCATTTACATTTCATTTATTAAAAACAGCTGTGCACCAGTTTCACAGTATGAAGTCACACAGGGCAGTGTGACAACTCAATGCATAAAGGGACTTGCAGCCAAAATGTGCAACTGGCCTTTGATACAATGGATACCACCACAAATTGAGAATAGGTACCGGGGGAGGCACATGCACTAAAAGAGATAAAGCAGCTCTATCTGTAAAAAAAAATAATTGTGAGCTTTTCTAATATCTTTTGTTACTTGTTAATTAAACAAGCATTTTCCTAGCAGGCAGAATTGAGTATTGCCTATTTACTGCCAAATACTGGTTGGGGGTACTCAAAGTATCTTTAAAAACTACTAGACAATTCAAAATCATAGAATCACACAATGCAGGTTGGAAAAAAACCCTCTGAGTTCAACCACTGACCCACCACTGCTGCGTTCACCACAAACTGTATCCCCAAGTGCTGCATACACAGGTTTTTTGAACACTTCCAGGAATGATTATTCTACCACTTCCTTGGGCAGCCTATTCCAATGGCTGACCACCCTTTCAGTGAATCATGTTTTCCTAATATCCAGTCTAAACCTTGCCTGGCACTGCAGGGGTTGTGACCTGACACTTCCCCTTGCTGTACCTCACACAGTTGGCCTCATCCCATCAGTCCAGATCCCTCTGCAGAGCCTTCCTGCCCTCCAGCAGATCAACACTTCCACCCAAGTTGGTATTGTCTGTGAATTTACTGAGGGAACTCTTGACCAGATCAATAGATACTGAACAGAGCTGTACTGATGATGACACCACACTAATCCACTCCGTTATTCCACAACTCAAATTTAGTTTCACATGCATTTCCCCGTAAGACAGCCTTTTCAAAAAATCTTCCGGGTTCTTAAATTGTTTTCACTTTTAAAAATTTTTACTGATTAACCTCTTACACCTGTTCATGGCAATGCTACGAAACATTTCTCTTCCTCTCTTTGGTGTCAAAAGATTACAGAACTGATTGTGGTTTTCTTCAAACTCTATTGTAAGCATACCAAATACTGTCCCAATAAAACTTTACATAATCAGTGCTGACACTCTATCTACAACATGCCCTTAGGAGCAACAACAAAACACATGACCTTCAAAACCAACATGCTGCAGTTGCAGAGAAAACCAATCAACAGTTTCATTCCATGACTTATGTTTTGGAAAAAGTCAGACTTGATTGCCCTTAATTTTGTTCACAAAAGTACAAAACAACTTTGCTATGAAAATTGATAATGTTATATGAAAATATGATAATTGTTAACTGCAGGAAAATCCTATCAATCAATCAGATAAGCTGAAATGTGCCTTTCTTTATTAATTCCCAAATTTCTTTGGGATTAATCACTCAAAGTCCTGTTTTTATGCAAACTGACTAAAGAGAAACTAGGAGAGGAGCAAAGGACTTGGACAATGAATGCACACTAAGCAAAACCTGAGATAAAATAACTAACTTTTGCCACAACCCTGTGATGGATCTAGTCAAATATTAAAAATGAGCGTCCCAGCATTTCTTTGAGGTAAACAATCATATACCAGAAAGGCTAAATAAGCATTCACACCCATCATACACAGCCTCCATTCCCTTTATAAAAAAAGAAAAAAAAAAATCACCAGTCCCTGTTTTGGACTAGGACTTTAAAATCTTTTATTTTCCATGAACTACTTGCTTTCTTTGCCTGGAGAAAAATATTTCGTAGTCAGTTAGCATGTGGCCTTTCTGCACAAGCAGCAGTATTTTTTTTTCCTACTTGAAATACCTACACTGCTTACAAAGCAGCATGAATATAAAAGGCACTGTTTCACAGATAATAAACATCCTTTTCAATCCAGGAACCCTCAAATTACTGTACTTACTACAAATTACAGTGATAAGACAAATTTTCATGGAGAAACTAAACTAAGACCAACCACTGACATGGCTTAATTTATAAATTAATAATTAGCATCTATTGAACACAGAAGTATTTACATTATTTACATATTGATTTTTCTGTCTATTTTGCTGTCTGCTTGGGCAATTATGATGTAGGTATATACAGCACAGAAAAAGAAGTCAGAAGACAATTTTTAGCACAAAGCTAGTCAACAACACTGTGAACTAATTTGTACTAATTTTGATTACACTGAGGTTTTTATAATGACCACTATAAATTCAAAGAATGCAGTTTACAGGTTTGTTGCTTTGCTGTGAAACAGACCAAAAAAATCAAATTTCTATAGAGATAGGATGATCAGCTAGGAATGCTTTACCTTGCTGGAACAGTGTTAATTGTACAATACTAGTGCTGGACAAATCACTTGTTTCCTGAACAAATTCTTAATCTGTTTTCCACAGGAAGGATTGTATTTAAGCAGGTACATTTCTTGAAAAGTGCGGTTTTTGTTTGTTCTGTTGGTTTTTGTTCGTTTGGTTTTTGTTTGGTTTGTGGTTTGGTTTTGTTTGTTTGTTTCAAGTATTATGAAGAGTTTTCACATGCTGGATGATGGAATTTGTACCTTATGTCAGCTGTGTAACAGATGAGGATAATCTGTATCTTTTCCAACTCTAGAAAGGGCTGAATGTAACTAAAAATAAAATTTACATATTACTCTAACAGTAGTAATAAAAAGACCTCCCAAAATTTTAATCACAAGTTGAACGTGACTACAGAGCTAATTAGGATATTGTTTGCTTCTTCTCTGGCTGATTTTCTGACTAAAATGTTTTCCCAGAAAACATGAACACATTTCACGTAACATTGCACATAAGCCAAGGAGCTCATTTTCCAGGGGTCAGGTACCTTTTACCAAATCCACCTGTATTGGTATAATTATGGCAGTAACCGCAGCAGCTGAGGAGATACACTTTGCAGTCTAACAGAAACATGTGCTCTCTTAGACACTGTGTGACAGAGGAGGAAAAAAAAATATTGCTATTAAAAACTGGCATTTGCCACATACAACGGCACAAAATACACACCCCTACACAAGCTTGAAGATGGTGTTTTTCAGTCCACCCCACCCTGCACTCATCAAAATGTACCTCTGGACTTCAGTGTGGGAGGATGGGGAGAACGCAAGACAACAGAAGCAGTTCTTATCAAATGCTTTCAGAAGCTATGGAACCTGCAGGGAAGTGTAGGAAGTTTTATGGTGGTACTGCTATTCAAGTAGTAAAAATAAAACCAAAACAAGATGTCCACCTTGTGGTAGGATGTTTCACTCTAAAAGTCAGAGTGAACACACACACTCCAGAGAAGAGACATTTGTGTTTCCAACACCCTTCGTTAACAGAAATCCTTGTAACAGTAAAAGTCTTTAAAATCCATATTTTTTCCAGTCATCCATCACAAGAGTGCTGATTTACCACAGCATTAACAGGATTCACATAAAAGACCTCTTCGTAGAAAAAAAAAATAGTTTCAAGTAACAGCTCCTATCTACATGTTCAGGTGAGAGTTCCAGTACTTTTCATCATCCATGTGACAAAAACCAGGTTCTACAAAAGCTATAACCAAGAATACTTGATTATACAGGAGGGTTCCTACCATGACCTAAGAATTAGATACCCAATGCTCATCTATCTGCATAACCCTTGCCCATTACCCCCTTCACCTTCTGTTGGCACGTGGTTGAAATGCCACCATGTTGTTCACCAGGAAAGGGAACTTAACTAGACGAAAGATGTTAAAAAGCCGTAAAGTTTGCTATGAGACTAATTCTAGACAAAAAGTCCAATCAACTTCAGAAATTCTGGCCACGCATTCAAAAATACATCAGACTATATCAAAGATAACTATTTACAGTCCTTTCAAATTTTTCTTTATGTTACTGTTATGTTTGTTTAACCTGCTCAGCTTGTATGATGTAATAAAAACCAGTCCAGTAAGAATCAACCTGTAAGCAAAGACAAAGCATGGATAGTTATGCAACAGATCTATATTCAAGCCCTAAAGAATTAATTTTCCAAATTTGAAGTAAAGCTACTTATTATTCAGAAGAAATCTATTTAACTCAGAAGACACTGTTCAGTTTACATGGATGTTTCTTTTGCTTCAAAGCCTAGCAGTTTCAAATATTCAAGAGTCATTCAACTTTTATCAGTTCTAGAAAGAAACAAATTTCAAAAACTTAACAGCAACTTGAACAGAGATACTTTATTAAAAGTTTTTTAACATCAGAATAATGTAAAAAGGACAGAAAAAACTTTCAACATTGACAAAATTTAAACTGTTTCCCATACAAATGTAGACTAAACCCCTAGGGACTTGGTCTCATTCCTAAAAATTGTAAACAAGTAAGGCAATCCATATTAAAAGAGCCTTCTATTTGTTAAATAAACACACGGGGAAATTTAAGCTGGTAACACTATCTTAACAACACAACTACAAGGTGTAACATGAATCCTCCTGCAGAATAAGCACTCTAAACCAATCCCCAACAGCACCTAAATACGAAGAGGTCAATAATGACTAGTCTAGAGTGGTGTAATCTAATAAAATCGATCCCCAAAACACACTGGAATATTTCTATTCCAGCAAGGTTTCAATAAAAAGAGACTGGCATATAAATCTGGGAGACAGGAACAGTAATTTCCAAACAGCACATCTGTTTGGAGTCAACAATTCACATCCTGCGAGGAAGTCAAGATACTTCTACAAACCTTCCTTTTTTTCAGTGGCAAAGGAAATTAAGGCCATCAAACTCGCAGCTTCAAAATTCACAGACAGAAAACAATGTTGTGCTTCTGAGAAGGCTCTGTTCTGTAGGCAAGGATTACTCTGACTGGAGGAACCTGGATGACTGGCAGTTACATAACCAGACAGTTTCTGCTGGATGCCCGTTGCTCTGCCTGTGGTGAACAGAGAAAATCATCCTGGATTACAAAAAAAAATAATCCAGCAGTAAAAGATTTCGCTACTCAAAATAATATACTGTATGTTTTTAATATATTAAATTATTAGCCTGGCATGCGATAAACAAGGGTCAGTATGCAAAGCTGTACAAACTGTTATTCCCCAGAAGTAAAAGAATGTTAGATATCCTTTCCTATGAGAGGTATTGGAGGACAGGTATTAGAAAAACAAATAATTGCCATATTTGGATCTCGAGTCAAAAAGCATCACTGAGTTTAGAGGTGGTCAATATAGCAGGGAGAATATACAAGTGCCTTATGAGTTTTTATCTAAAGAAATCTAGCCTTTCTATAATGTTGTTTAAGTAAAGCTACTAAAACACACACTGCAGGAGAACTACACAATCACAGAAACCACATGAGCAGGTGGATGTGCTTCAGTACTTCTGTACAACTGCAATAAAAACCTGACTATTTTACATTCCACAAAGCTGTGATTCAGGTATAGGCCAAAATTCATTGTTGCCAAAAAAACATGATTCTTAACATTTTTTGTATGTTTACACATACACATCCCTTCAGAGTTGCCTTTTTTTCAGCATGCAATGGACATTTTCTCTTATAGTGTATTTAAATCTCCAGTTTTCTCTATCAGAGAAAATATGTAAACAGAAGACACTAACATAATCTTCTCTATCAGGGAAAAAGAAATTTTAAATTCTCAAAACTTTGCATAAATTTAGGTCTACCTGCTTAAGCCAAACTTTACCATAAACAACTGGCATGGGGGAAATCTTACCAGGAACAGAGTTCAAGAAGGAAAAAAAAAAAATCCCCGTATCTTCAAATCTTCCAAACTTGTTTTAAGAAAAATCTTCTCTCCAAAGGAATACATTAAGTAAAATTTTTGCACTGATTTCAATAGTACAGTTCCATGCTTTCATTAATTACTGCTAACAGAAAACCCGAAAATAAAAAACCCCACCCACACATAATAATTTTTATGATTTTTTTTAAGACTTCATGATTTGTATCTCCCATTTTTTCAACCTAAATAACCTTGGTAACCCAAGACAAGATACCTGCTGGTGGGAAAGTTCTTCTTCTTCCTCCAGAGGTTCAACTCCTTCTAATTCCTCATCTTCCCCTTCACGTGCTGTTGTTTTGAAGACAGTGCTTCTTTGAGCAACCTCCTGCAACAGAATTTTAAGATTTGACGCCTCCACAATCTGGTGCTCATCTACTCAGACTTTGAGAAAGTGCCAGCTGTTGGGAAAATTACTTGTACTCCCTCGTCTACATACTTTTTAGATATAGCTGTGCATAAACAGCATTCCTAACAGTTTGATTTTAAATCTCTTCATGATTAAAAAAGTCTTTTTCTAACAAAACACTCATCAAGTTCTTACAAAATCTGCTTTCTTTCATGTGTGTATTTAAATATTCTTTTAATTGTAGTATGTCATAGTAACTGTCTTAGCCAAAGCTTTAAATCCCACCTTACTAGAATTAATTCCTCATTGCTTACAGTGAATTTCACTGTACCATTCCTCATAAAGAGTTTTAAGGAAAACTAATTTAAAAACCCAAATCACTGAGGAGTTCACTAAAACCTTTTCTTTTCAAAGTGTATTCCAAGGCACTGCCCAACTCCTGGCATAAGGGCAGTATCTGAACAAGTAATTCTACTGCTTGCACTCAATATAGAGAAAAAACAAAAACACACACTTAATAAACTGCAGTTTAAGACAGTCAGAGGTAAAGTGTGCTTGTCCGGAAAGCAAAAGGAGAAAATTTTACTAAACACTCCAGTGCATTCCTTTGTGAAGTCCTAACAATGGTTCCACCTTGTATTTGTATTATTTGTAGGTGATGGCACCACAGAAAGACAAGTTTAAACACATCTTAGGTGACCTTACCTCTCCCTGAGAATTCTTCAGTACAACTTTCACATCTTCACCAGTACCCCAGGAATTCTGGTTCTTCCAGATGAGGTCAGTGGGAGGGCTTGCAGTGACTCCAGCATTTGCAGCCCAGATCTGTTAACAGAAGTCACACACAAATGTTGTTTGCTAGTCCCAAGTTATTTACCGAGTTAATATATTTTCATTTAAGTGACACTTGTGAATCTTTCAGTCAAGGAAGCACAGGCATCTGCTTACATACTTCGAAAGTTTCTTACAATAAAGCACGTTTTTTAATGCAGAGACTTTTGAATATGTAAATGTGCCTCTATATGGTGAAAATTATTGTTCCATGTAGAAAGCAATTTTCTGAAAAACATGGCTCAGTATCAACTGTCCCAGTAACTGACATAACCAATGCACAATACAGATACAGGTGATTATTTTCTGAACATGTACACAAAAGTTGTGTCTTACTGACACACAAGTTGGCCTGAAGTCCATTTCAACTGAGCGGCTGAAGCTTGAGAACTTACTGTAACAGTTTGGCCTGCCTTTAGTACATATCTTGAGGTATATCTGTAAGTAGCAGAAGTGTCTCCAATTTTTTGGATCATCTCCCAGCCTCCCATAGGTTGATCCTAAGAAAAGAGACAAAAAACCCCAAATATTCCATTGGCATTCATTTATGCATGTAGGGTGGTTTATCTCTAAGGCTTTGACACATAAAATTTCCAGTAAAATGTTTCTTACCTTCAGCATGAAATTAGAATCATTTCACTCAAATTTATCTTACCTCTCATTTGAAGCTAAAGCTTAATACCTTCCTGTTTTTCAGTTCTGATGTTATATTAATTAATGTTTATGATTTGCATCAGTTTTGTTATCACTTTGGCTAGAAAAATACAAATTAATATAACAGCCATTAAATATTAAAATCCCCCTAAAAATACAGAATACACTTTTTAAGCACAGAACGTCAAGCAGGCTTTTTAGAAAAAAAAAAATATTCTTGTTAGTATTCTTAAAATGTTTCCACATATACACACCTGCCACCATATAGTCCTTTCCAAGACCCATTGCAATTTTTTCAATTATTTTTTCCTATCAACTACTTGAAGAGCAATAGCAAAACATATCTAAGTCATTATTA